TATCGAGAAAACAACGTCTCAGAACTTACAGTACTTTGATTTTTACTACAAAAATATCCTGTCAGTCCTTGCGGTACATGTGCTTTGATTTTTTTAATCAGCCTACTATCATGTGAAAAATTGTGAAAATCTATCCAGCCATCTCTGAGTAATCGCGCTCACAAAATTTGGGAGGAATAATAATAATAATAACTAGAAACGATCTCGTTGCGAGCAACGAGAGGTCTTCCGTCCGATTCTGGAAAAAACAAACTCGTAAAGTCGAGCTGAGAAGTGATTAAAACTTTTGGTCACAAATTGAATCCAGGTCGCCAGCGTGAAAATCCAATCCGCTTTTTTCCCCTTTTATCCCCAACGCGCTAACCATTACCCTATTGGGAGTACTGCTCTAAATGGACTTGTGTATACTTTCGCTACAGTACACCTGTCTAAGAATTATAAAAGACTGGCCATTATTCATAATTTCGCGCCAAACGCCACGTTAAATCTTCGCGCCTTTTCTTTGGACTGATCTATTAAATAGGTGTGATAGCTTCAATGAAATTAAGAAAAAAGAACGTTCTCATAGCCTACATTTTGAGGTTTAGAAAATATATTTAACACATTGTACACATTCTATAGAAAAGTAACACAAAAGCAGTGAAATGACTTTAATTTAATTTTTTTATTTCCCGTCTCAGAAGTGAACTATGCCGATTAGTTACACTTTCATAAAAAGGTTGAAATGTTTCGCCGAAAAACATGCCTCGCTCTTCGACAGTCAAGGAATCAGTTACCATTTATGTTCAATAACTTGATTCAGGTCTTTGAGAAAAGAATGTGAATATAAACTGCATTAGACGATCTTATTAAAATGGTTTTCTTATTTTTGTCTTTTCTGTTTGTTTAATATCACACAAGTGTGCATGGGGAAAACAGTGGTTATACGTTTTATACTTACTATATACATACATCGATATTGTTTCTTGAAAAACTATAACTTATAGCTATGATTTAAGATCTGTTTTTCCGTCTTGCACAACAAATGATAATAGGTATCTCTCATTTGCACATTTAGTCTTTTCTTTTTCTACTTTGAGAACCAACCAAAACCAGTTACAGAAGACGTTTGAGAAGACCCTGGAATAAATCTTTAGTTTGACACAGAATTGTAACGTAATTACTACGTGATCTATTAACGCGCAAACCATTAAGCTATTGAGAGCACTGCTCTAAATATACTTGTGTATACATTTGCAACAGGACACCTGTCTAAGAATTATAAAAGGCGGGCCACTATTGATAATTTCGCGCCAAACGCCACGAGTAAATATTTGCGCTTTTCTTTGGACTGATCTATTAAATAGGTGTGATAGCTTCAATGAAATTAAATAAATAAAACGTACTTATCGCCTTTATTTTATTTCGACGTTAAGAAGGTAATATTTAACACATTGTACACATTACATATGGTATCTAGCCCAGTTAAACTAAAGCAGTGAAACGGAAATTAAGTTTTAAGATTGACACGTAATTACAACGTACTACTACGTGAAAGTCAAAGTAGTTTTTTACATTTCATGTATCCATATGTCAGAATGGTTTAATCAAACGCTCAGCTGCCTCCAGAAACCCCTACTCGCGAAATGGCGGAGTTGAAAGAGGCAGACGCCATCTTGGACCCGCTTCAAATTTTCAAATATTAATATCTAGAGTTCAGATTAACCAATATTCAAACAACTTATATAGTAAGCATCAATAGAAGGGTCTCTATTAATATTCTAAAAATAAATAAAAAAAATATTGAAAAACAAAAAAGTTAGAAAAATATGCTTTTTTAAATTTGCATCTCGTAACGACCGGAAGTATTGACGACGCACAAAAAGGCGATTCTGCAAACCAGAAAGTCACGAGCTATTGTCTCCAATAAGTCTCCAGTTCATATCTGTAGCCATTTTCGATAAAAGTGCGCGACAAAATCGCATTTTAAAATCAGAAAATTGTCTATAACTTGGCACCGGAAGCGAATTTTCCAAAAAAAATTACAGACTGCACAACTTCATATAATGACGCATTTTTAATGAAAGTTTCGTTGAAAACCGCTGAATAGTTTCCGAGAAATCGCGTGCACAAAATTTTGTCAAAAAAAGAATAATAACTAGATCTTTTTGTCGTTCAACAAAAACGGAGGGCTTTTCGACCACTTAAAAATCAAGAGCTTAAAAACTTACATAATTTAAAACTAATAAGGTTCAATTTCACAAAAGTTGTTTTAAGATCAATACTGAAATGGAAACATAACGAGTCTCTATGTCCATTAGCTTCTACACAAAGAGACATAAATCTTTGATGAATGTTTAAAACATTCGAAAAAGTGCTGTTTTTCAATTTATCAAACTCCTATAAGGGGTCACAAAGTAACCCCACGGATTATAATTTTGAAATCGTACTCTATATGCTTGCTACAGAACCAAAAATAACTTGAAAATTGGTTGAGAAATAAAAAAATTATATAAATAAGGCTGTTTTCTATACCGACCCTTAGAATCCCTTTTATTTAAGGGATTTTATTTCCATGATCTAACCACTTGGAAACAATACTAGAGTCATTATTCATGTGAAATATCACAAGAATTGCTTGTTTCCCTTTTAAATTAATGGAACAAACGTGATTTCAAATTTAACATTGAAATCTCCATAGACAATTTTAAAAGACTCATAAAACCGGAAGTACTCCTTATATGCATACCAAAATTAAAACATAGAGAAAATATTAGATCCTTAAAATGTGGACAAAGGGAGAAAACCTTTGCACAATTATTTTTGAAATTGTTTTAAAAAACGAAAATTGAGGTCTATAAAAGTTCTATAAGGGATCAAAAAGTAACCACACGGCCCATAATTTTTAAATTGCCTTTCTTATGCTTAACTCAAAACCGAAATAAGTTTGAAGATTTGTGAGTAAATAAAAAAGTTACAGTCAAAATGCTGTTTTCTATACTGACCCCTAAAATCCCTTCTTTTTTGGGAGAGTTTGATTTCCTGACATTACAGCATAAAGACAGTGCCAGATTTATTATTCATGTGATTTCTTTAAAGAAGTCCTTGCTTCCCTTTTGAGATACTAGAAAAGGATGATTTCAAATTTAACATAGAAATCTCCATAGGCAATTTTAAGGGACGCATAAAACCGGAAATACTCTTTATATGCATATCAAAATTGAAACGTAGAGACCATATTAGACTCCAAACAGGTTGACAAAGAGAGATAACTCTTACATCATTCTTTTTCAAAAGACTTAAAAATGCAATATTTCAGGTCTTTAAAACTCCTATAAGGGGTCAAAAAGTGACCCCACGGACCATATTTTTTAAATTGTCCTTTTTGTGCTTAACTCAAATCTGAAAACTGTTTAAAAATTTATTGAGAAATAAAAAAGTTACAGGCAAAGGTCTGTTTTCAATCTTGGCCCCTTAAAATCCTTATTTTCTCGATTTTCATTTTCAGAGTATTTTCAGGTAGGAACAGTATCAACGTCATTGTAAACTTAAAATTTCACGAGAAAATTTTCATTACTTTAAGAGAAAACGTGCCATGCGTGATTTCAAATTAAACATAGAACTCCCATAGACAATTTTCAAAGACCATAAAACCGGAAGTTCTGCTCTGATTGATGTGAAACTTTCAGAATATGCTCTACTAAATAGTTCAAACATATTTCTATGCTCAAAATAATTTTTGCAACGTTATTGTGATTTTTGAAAAAAATCACCCCCCTTCTGCAATGTTTGAAGTCTTATATCTCAAAAAATCTTTGTGGTCAAAAACGCCTATGCAATTTTTTTTACTTGATCTTGAAGTTCAAAACTTGTATTTTTCTGTTTCGGAGCTTAGGCATATAAAAAAAAGAAAGATTTAGGCGTTTTAAAGAATTTTTGTTTTTCTTTTCTAGAAACCGGAAATGACGTATCCAGAAAACCAAAATCTTACATTCGGAAGACTTTTGCATGATCTTTAAGATGGTTATAAAATAAAATAAATATTTTAAAAGGATCTTCTTGAATCTGTGACAGAAAAGTGTTCAGAAAAAGAATAATAAAAAAGACGAAAACAATAGGTCTTTTCGACAAAAGTCGAAAAGCCCTAATAATAATAATAATAAGAAACAATACAATCACTATAAGGTCTTCCGTCTTCACGGAAGACCTTAAAAAGAAACAATACAAACACTATAAGTCTTCTGTTGTGAACGGAAGACTTAATAATAAGAAACAGAGTAAAAACAATTTGTTCCCAAACTCCGTTTGGGGAACATAATTATTTGTCTTTTGGGTCAATCAGTAATGTGCCTTCTAGCCTGGCTGAGGTGGATTGAGAATGAATTTCAATCTGCAGTTTCACTCCGATGTTTTCCCCACGTCCGCGTCGAATTGTACTTGCACATTTCATTGTCTATCACTGAATGTTTTGATTGTAGCAGATAGAAATGACGTAAGCTGTATATTTCCAATCTTGACAGTTAATGTTCCGCGGTCTTTAACTGCAAATTTTTTAAAATGAAAAACTGCGCTAAATTTTTGTTAATGTAAATTAAAAATGCCCATTTTCTTGGTAATACGTCCGGAGTAATGCACTTGCCCGAATTGTATTTTTAGTATGTTTCATTAATATTCGAAGGAGGCGGAGCCAGAAATTTATCGGGAAATCAGGTTTGGACTGAAGTGGATGAAATGCGGAGGAAAATTTTATAGGAATAAATTACTCCCACCCTAAGATAAATTATATGGGATCCGTTTTTATGACTTCTTGTATGTATACTAAAAAGAACGAAAATTAAATTAATCTTGAATATAAAAATATATTCGTGAATTTCTTGTTTTCTAAAAATACAAATCAAAATAAATGGTTAGCGATTTTCATTAATGTTCCCGGGATAAAGTTGGTTTATAGAATAACAATTGTCATGTAGGGATAAATTTTCAACTGTATTAGAAATACTCTTAAGACATCTCATCTTTCATCACCTTTCATCACTTTCTTTTTGACTGTAGGGTCTTGCTATTTTCCGTTTCTTCTCCAAGTTGTCGTCTGTAATTTGAACACTACTGTTGCTGAATGGGTGATCTTGGACAGCTTCCGGAACATCAGATGACACCGGAATATCAGCAGACGATGGCTTGGCTGGAGTCTATATATTTGGGAAATACTTTTTCTTGAATGTTATATATTAAGACTTTTACCTTTCATAGATATAAATTTTAAAAGAATGGGTGTATGAAAAAATAATAAATCTATAAATTATATTATGTATTATGTTTTCCTTTTTCATTATTATTATCAATATGATAATTTTTTATTTAGGTGCCTATTATCCGAACACACTAACAAATTTGTAATAGTTTTTTAGCTCACCTGAGCCGAAGGCTCAAGTGAGCTTTTCTGATCACATTTTGTCCGGCGTCCGTCTGTCTGTCTGTCTGTCCGTCTGTCCGTCTGTCTGTATGTAAACTTTTCACATTTTCGACTTCTTCTCAAGAACCGCTGGGCCAATTTCAACCAATCTTGCCACAAAGTATCCTTGGGTGAAGGGGATTCAAGTTTGTTCAAATGAAGGGCCACACCCTTATTCAAGGGGAGATAATTGGGAATTAATGAAAATTTAGTGGTATATTTTAAAAATCTTCTTCTCAAGAACCACTTTGCTAGGAAAGATGAAACTTATGGGGAAAGATCCTCAGGTAGTGTAGATTCAAGTTTGTTCAAATCATGACCCCCGGGGGTAGGGCGGGGCCAAAATGGCCGACCAAAGTTTTACATAGAAATATATAGGAAAATTCTTTAAAAATCTTCTTCTCAAGAATGACAAAGCCATAATTCATCATATTTATATGGGAGCATGCTCATGTAGTGTAGATTCAAGTTTGTTCAAATCATGACCCCCCGGGTAAGGGCGGGGCCAACATGGCTGACCAAAGTTTTACATAGAAATATATAGGAAAATTCTTTAAAAATCTTCTTCTCAAGAAGGACAAAGCCATAATTCATCATATTTATATGGGAGCATGCTCATGTAGTGTAGATTCAAGTTTGTTCAAATCATGACCCCTGGGGGTAGGGCGGGGCCAAAATGGCCGACCAAAGTTTTACATAGAAATATATAGGAAAATTCTTTAAAAATCTTCTTCTCAAGAATGACAAAGCCATAATTCATCATATATATATGGAAGCATGCTCAGGTAGTGTAGATTCAAGTTTGTTCAAATCATGACCCCCAGGGGTAGGGCGGGGCCAAAATGGCCGACCAAAGTTTTACATAGAAATATATAGGAAAATTCTTTAAAAATCTTCTTCTGAAGAATGACAAAGCCATAATTCATCATATTTATATGGAAACATGCTCAGGTAGTGTAGATTCAAGTTTGTTCAAATCATGATCCCCGGGGGTAGGGCGGGGCCAAAATGGCCGACCAATGTTTTACATAGAAATATATAGGAAAATTCTTTAAAAATCTTCTTCTGAAGAATGACAAAGCCATAATTCATCATATTTATATGGAAGCATGCTCAGGTAGTGTAGATTCAAGTTTGTTCAAATCATGACCCCCGGGGGTAGGGCGGGGCCAAAATGGCCGACCAAGGTTTTACATAGAGATATATAGGAAAATTCTTTAAAAATCTTCTTCTCAAGAAGGACAAAGCCATTATTCATCATATTTATATGGAAGCATGTTCAGGTAGTGTAGATTCAATTTTGTTCAAATCATGACCCCCGGGGGTAGGGCGGGGCCAAAATGGCCAACCAAATTTTTACATAGAAATATATAGGAAAATTCTTTAAAAATCTTCTTCTCAATCATTTTCTAAAAAATAGCAAATCCAAGATTGGTCATGGGACTACTTTTGGATTTAAACTTTACAATAAAAAGCCATTTTATACTAGTCCTACCCTTGGTGCTCAGGTGAGCGATGTGGCCCATGGGCCTCTTGTTTTTATTAGGGCCCCGCAAGGATTTGCGGGTGCCCTATAGTAATCACTCTGTCTGTCCGTCTGTCACTCTTCCGTCCACAAATTTTCTGTTTTTTTCTAATAACTTTTTTTATGGTTGCCCAATCAAGTTCAAATTTGGTATGGTAGTTCAGTAGGCAGAAATACATATTTTGATGCTAAGTTTGGTTCTCTATGTTTTCTGGTTTGGAGCTGGGGTGGTGGGGTAGATTCCTTAACTATGCATAAGAATGAATGGGCAACTTTTTTTATGGTTGCCCAATCAAGTACAAATTTGGTATGGTAGTTCAGTAGGCAGAAATACATATTTTGATGCTAAGTTTGGTTCTCTATGTCCCCTGGTTTGGAGCTGGGGTGGTGGGGTAGATTCCTTAACTTTATATAAGAATGCATTGGCAAAGAGAGATAACTGCTGAAGATGTTCCCATTGTAAACTGAATGCTGGCTATGAGTCCCTTGGGATTAATTAGCTTTCCTCCTGAAGAAAATCCAGAGCATTATCTTTATCTGTCACATTGAGATGAATTACCACCTCTATCTGCAAATGAAGTTTGTTTTGAAGTTAAGTCAATTTGGAATGCTATGAACACTCAGAAATGTGGATTTAAATATAAATTTTTGTAATTTATTTTTGTTTAATAGTTATGATTTCATTGAATGCTAAAAACAAGAAATAGATTAAAAAAGATTTTTTGATTTACTTTTTTTCACTTTATGTTAATTAATTTTTAAGGTAGTTGTATAAAAACCCCATTCTATCATTAATACTGAAAAAGTTCTTATTGTAACTTTAGAAGAAAATGATGAGAGAGATACAATTAATCCTTTGGGATTAATTATCTAGCCTGCTGCAGAAAATTTAGTAGGCTTTTCTTTATCTTTAAGATTAATGAAAACCTTTGTCTGCAACTGCTGTTTGTTTGAAGTTAAGGTCAAGCCTTCATGATATTTGCATTCATTAAAGGCTGGCATTCTATATAACACAAGCTTCATAATTGTTTAAATATACATTCAATGTTAAGTTGTTCTTTACTGCCTAATGTAAATACAAGGATATTATTTTCAGGTTTTTAAATATTCAGGAATTATCTTAAAATTTTAAGAATACAGTTGCTGTTGCTTATTCTTCGTACATTTTTTAATCATTCCGTAAGCTGCACCCTTTTAATTCTACCCCAAGGCGGGGCCCTTGCTGACTGGTCAGTTTTCTAGTTGATCATGACGATTATATTGTCCGGGGAAGTAGAAACAAGCTTATACTCTTCTTTTCTTGTTAATGAATTTAACTTGAAGAAACTACTTACTTGAGGATTCATGGTGTCTACTGCCGCGCTAAACCCAAAGATCCTCTCTTCGCCCATAACCGACACCACCTCTTTCTCCATTGAACTTAGGGGCACTATTTTGAGTTTACCACCTCCCGTTTTCGTACGTTCTCTCTGCACGGCAGAGGCCCTCTTTTTGGTCCCCCTTTTAAGATCATCCCATTTCTTCTTCAATTCGTCAATTGTTCTTCTTGAGAAGGAAACTGCATTCACCGCTTCCATAATCTCTATCCACGATTGCTTCTTTTTTGCATTATTAACGACATCACTAAATTTTGAGTTAATTATTTCTGATCGTTCCTTTACCCCTTGCACTAGAATGTCAATTTCTTTTTCCGAAAATCGGGGTTTCTTCTTTTTCTCTTCCATCTTCAGACTTTCTGATTTAGTGACGTGCATTTTCATGAAATGACGTCACAATCGCAGAAGTAAGAATCGGAGATAAGTTACAATATACATGTAAGGTCATGTGGATCTATGCATGTTTATACTATTATGATATTTTGAAATTTAATTGTTTAACTGAGTCAAACTTGTACTAATAAAGAATACAATGACAAATTTTAATGTACCTACTAACGAGCTTCATGAACGCATTGAATAAGAAATATCTTGATTATGATAGTTAAAACTAATCTTTAGAAACCTTTATAATTTTTTTATATTAAAATATTTATATACTTGAAAAAATACTGTCTTTTTCCATTTCTTTTCTTAGAAAGTTATTTATACTCATTTAATTTTTGATTCTATTCTGTTCTCACTTCACATTTTTTTTTATTTAGAGAATGCAAGACATTTGATTAAAAAAATAAACAAAACACGCTTATACTATTCAAATTTTAATGTGTTCATAACTCTATATTCTGTTCAATGCAGGTGCCCGTTCAGCGTGTTTCACTTGCGGAAACTTTCCGTAAATTTCGCAAAGTTTACGGGAGCTTCGTGAATACGCCGTAAACCATCCGTAATCTTTCCGTAAACTTTCCGCAATCCTTCGGTAAACTCGCCGCGACTGCGGAAATTACGGAGGCTTTGTGAATAAGGTCCCTGAACAGCAATATTTAAAAGTTCTTCAATTTGTGTTTGATAAATTTCAAGACAAAAGTTAAACTTTATCTCATTTTTAGCTCACCTGAGCTGAAAGCTCAAGTGAGCTTTTCTGATCACATTTTGTCTGTAGTCCGTCTGTCCGTCCATCTAAACTTTTCACATTTTCGACTTCTTCTCAAGAACCCCTTGGCCAATATTAACCAAACTTGCCACAAAGTATCCTTGGGTGAAGGGGATTCAAGTTTGTTCAAATGAAGGGCCAAGCCCTCTTCCAAGGGGAGATAATTATGACTTAATGAAAAATTAATGGAATCTTTTAAAAATCTTCTCCAGAACCATTGGGCCAGGAAAGATGAAACTCATGTGGCATTTGTAGGTAGTGTAGATCATGATGTATGCCAGTTTTTAACTTTATAGTCCTAGTGAAACAAAAGATATTAAAAATGTTCGAGTTTTTCTGGGACAACCCTCATATATAGGGAAAATCTTTTAAAAATCTTCTCCAGAACCATTGGGCCAGGAAAGATCAAACTCATGTGGAAGCATCCTCAGGTAGTGTAGATACAAGTTTGTTCAAATCATGACCCCCGGGGGTTAGGGTGTGGCCACAATGAGGAAAGTTTTGCATATATAATAAACATAGAATATATAGGAAAAAATCTTCTCCAGAACAAAAAAGTTTTGTTTAGTCAAATTCACATGTAAGCATCTGCAAGTAATGAAGATTTAAATTTATTCAAATAATATCTGGGGGTGGGGTTGGAGGGGTGTTAGCCAGGGGTTGCAATGGGAGATCGAGTAAAATGTTGGAAAAGTCTTTTAAAAATCTTCTTTTCAAGTATGGCAAAATTATACAAGTATGCTTTATTGATATAGTGACATTCTCAAGTAATAGAATATTCAAATCCCCCTCCCCCAACAAGTAAGTTTTTCAATACTAAGCTGATTTGTGATTTTTAACTAGCTCATGTTCTCAGGTGAGCGATGTGGCCCATGGGCATCTTGTTTTTCAAATTCTATCGAAAAAGTGAAAAAAGGACATGTGATTATAAATGTTTATATGAAAGTATACCACAGATTTATTCTTATTTCAAGGGTAAAAGTGGATTATTTGCTGTACTTCCTCTGCCAATTCATGCCACCATCAAAGAGAAGAACAGAGCCTTAATTCCTCATACACTAACAAAGAAGCCAGCTCCACAAGCTTTCAATGTAATGTCGAGCTCGCACCCAAAGGAGGCTGTTGGTCCCCCCAAACCAGAAAAACATGACAGTGATAGTGAGGGGGAGGACCAACCTTCCAGTTTTTTTTCTCTGAGTTCCGAGGACATTAAAAAACCCTTTGTGTCTGGATTTTTAATGAAGAAAATGTCCCTTCCTCCTCCAGTTTCAGCTAATGATAATCAAAGTCAGAGCTTTATTTCTAGGACCACATGTCCTGCAGTTAATATGACATTAAACACTGGAGAACCTTCATTGTTCAGCGAGACTGCTGATTTCCAAAATGCTCCCATGATGTTCAAAGAATCTGCCCAAGATGGGTTTCATTCTCCTTTTTCTGGATCAACTTCTATAGACACTCCTACTACAAAACAGTTCGAGGTGAGTTCACTGAAAACTTTGTAACTTTATCAGTCAAATTGGACTATTGCTCTCTGATTAAGCCCATGTTTGCATCATGCATAGAAATATTTTCACTTTTTAAGGTGAAGGAGATTTTATATTAATCAAATGAAGGGCCAAGGGCAATAATAAAGTGGGGTCATTTAAAAACTTCTTTTCAAGAAGCACTAAACAGGTGAAAGAGAGAAGAAAATGCTAAATTATTTGAATCATGGCCTCCAGTGGTAGGATGGGGCCACAATAGAGGATAACAGTTTGACATTGATAAACTAAGAATGTAGGAAAAATTCTTTAAAAATCTTTTTAGCTCACCTGAGCTGAAGGCTCAAGTGAGCTTCTCTGATCACATTTTGTCCGTCCTCCATCTGTCTAGCTGTCCGTCCGTCCATCTGTCTGTCTGTAAATTTTTCACATTTTCGACTTCTCAAGAACCAATGGGCCAATTTTAACCAAACTTAATACAAAGCATCCTTGGGTGAAGGGGGATTGCGACATAGTAAGCTGTTTTATACAAGAAAAATATAACAACATGATAGCGACACAAGAAATACAAAGCAAGTTATAAACGATACATAAATTCGAAAGAGAGCATGAAAATTAATCTGTAATCAGGAAACAATAAGTTTAAAAATATTGAGAAATCAATTAAACACTATGTACACATTCACAATGGTGCCCGAGTCATCAGACTGTTGAACAGTGCTTTCAGAATCTCTCGCAAAAGTCAACTGGTGATGAGGATGGACTGTTGCGCGTGTTTAATGGCTGAGTCTGGGGTTTTGATATATCTCGTATATGAATCGGAGGTCCACCTTCCTAGTGATTTGATAAGGTGGTCTTCGATGGGGGCTTCTGCTGCAGATGTAGCAGCACCAATTCGGAAAGAATGTCCAGTGATGTAGCTGTCACCATGGTTTGAACGCTTCAGTAGATCCCTTAACATAGTCAAAAAATTACACCGACTAAGGGCACTTCTATTTTCCATGATGAAGAGGGGGAAGTGCATTTTGGGATCAAAAATGGCATTTCTTGTAGATAAGTAGTTCTTTAGTTGTTGAAATGGACATAATACAGAATTATTTTTAAACAACTTGATCCCTAATCCTTTTCGGAACATGTAATTCTTGGATTGTTTAAAGAAGAGAACGACGTGGTCATCGTAGAATTGTAGGTTGCTTACGCACAGATTAACGTGAGGGTCGAAGGCTGCTTTGCATGTAAATTCCGCACATCTGAGGAAACTGAAAAAAGCCACTATACACACTGTTGTCATTAACGTATCCATGTATTTTGAGTTCACACCTTTTTGAAGCACGCTGCATGTCTTGTAATACATTGTAAGTAATAGGTTGTGGGCTTGGATGGTAGGATGGACTTTGTCTTTTTATACTGCTAAGTAGCATGTGCAATCTAGGTAAATTGCCTGCCAAATCGGTAAAGGGGTTAGGTATACCGAGCAGAATGAGATGGTGTCGAATCCTGCAGAGGTAAAGCTTTATTGTTTGGTAAGACAGGTTCGTGGAATCGTAACAGGTGACAAATTCCATTAAAGTAGATTCTGACATACTTTGACACATGTTGTTCATACAGCTAAATTTTAAGAAGGCTTGATATCCGGAGTTATATGTAGCTTTAGTTGAAACGGATATGGAGTCTTCCATCAATGCTTCTATTCTGTGAGAGGTTTCCAAAGGACGTCCTGCAGGGATGGGCAGGGATGACGGTGTCTGTCTGCTTGAGGAGCTAGGCTTCTGAACTTGTGAAATCGAGATAAAGCATCTGCGATTACATTAGTTTTACCTGGAAGGAATTCAGAATAAATGCAGAAATTGTATTTAGGTGAACACCAGGTTGACTGTCTCATTAGTTTCATAATAGAAAGAACTTTAGATCACCCCTTTTGTATAATATTCACAGTAGCTAAGTTGTCACAATAAAAAAGTATTCTTTTGGTAGACCAACGATGTCCCCAGAGAATGGAAACTTCAATGATAGGGTACAGTTCACGGAGTACCATAGATATGTCCTTGTGTTGTTCACTTGGTAAATCATCTGGCCATTTGTCACTGAACCAGTGACCTTTGAAATATCCCCCGAATCCAAGGGTAGATGATGCATCTGTATACAAATGCATAATATTAGCTGGAGTTCTTGCGATATCATAGAAAAAAGCCATTCCACTGATCTAAGAACAATTTCCACATTCTGATGTCTTCTCTGCACTCTGAGGTCAGATGAATGTAATGATGAAGCTCACGCACAGAAGATGCTAGGCTCAACAAATAAGAAACAAATGATCGTCTGGTTCGATTACGCGAGAAGCAAAGTTCAAATGTCCCAAAAGTTGCAACAATTCACATTTTATACAGCTTTTCTTCACGCTAAAAGTTTCTAACATTTCTCGTATTCTAAGAACTTTGTCTGGAGGAAGTCGTGCTTGCATTTTAGAAGAATCGAAAATTATTTCAAGGTATTCCATAACAGTATCTAGGCTCATGGTCTTGTGTAGAGCAATTGGAATATTCAGCTTCTTAAAGATCATTGTCAGGAGGGCCATGGATCGATCCGCATCAAAATCTGGTCTTTCTATGGTTAGGAAGTCATCCAGCAAATGCAGTATAGATTCGATTTTGTAATTGTTTTGTGCTATCCAGCAAATTGCTTGGGAAAACTGATCAAAGATCTTTGGACTAGATCTACATCCAAAGGATAAACGAGTGCAGTGATAGTATAAATTTCTCCACTTCACACAATATAAATGGTACTGAGAAGGTAGTATGGGAATAAGTTTAAAGGCATCTGAAATATCAGTCTTGCACATCAGAGAGCCTTGACCATTTTGCACAATAATTTTGATGGCATCATCAATACTCACATAAGAAAGAGAGCATTGATTTTTATCAATGAGTTCATTTATACTTCGGTGAGTTTCATTGTTGTGAGGTGCAGAAAGATCCACGATTAGCCTTTTCTTTTTAGAATACTTATGTTTGTCAATTCCGAGAGGAGACACTCTGTAGTTTTCAAAAGGAGGTTCCTCATAAGGTCCTGAAAGAAAACCTTTTTCAATTTCCTTTGACAGAAACTCATCAACAATATCCATGTTCTGTAAAGCTAACCTCAAGTTTTTGCATTCTCGTGTTTTCAAGTCTGTTTTCTGCACTTTAGTGTCAAACCCGCTAGTAAAACCCTCTAAAAGGTAAGCAACAAAGTTAGGATTTTCATGATTTTCAAGTTCAAGTTTCAACTGTTGAATGTTAATTGTTGAGCAAGGAGATCCTGGAACAGATAGTCATTTGGGATCGGTAGCAGAGGAAGATGTATTCTTGGATTTGGTTGATTTTGAAGTACAAGTAAGCGATGAATGATCCTTGCTCTTGCATAGGCTGCAAATGTGAAGGAAAGGACAGTTGCTTCTTCCGCATTTCCTAGTAGAATTGAAATTGTTACAGATTTCCTGTCCATCATGTAACAGCCTCTTTCTGCCATGCTTATCTGTATTACTATTTGAGGATTGATGAGAAGTCGCTGATGAATTGTTCTGTGATTGAGGACAAAACCTGGTATCATGAGAAACTTCTGAGCAGATAGAGCAGGATCTGGATTCAGATGCTATGAGCTGAATGAGATCTCTGTCTCTCACAGACCAGTCAACTTTAATCTTGTGAACGGCCAAGGCATTGGCACTTCACAGAGAAAATAGCTTGTGGTACTCATAAAATCTTTCTCCGTAAACATTGTATATGTCGATGATATTGATACTTCATATTGAACAAGTTCTTCTCTGCGATTAGGGAATGCCTGGCACATGCATCGTTTATATTTTCCGAATGCAGTAGTAAGGCACCTTTTAAGTCGGAACTGTAAATCACTTTTTATTCAGCAATAGTAAGGCACCTTTTATATAGAGCGACGACCACAATATTTTGTCTCGCTTATAAAGAATCAATGACAATCTCTTCTATAGTGATCTGGTTTCTCTTTTTCTGAGGTAGTAATTTCATAATAAGGGATAAGCAATGAAGCAAGATTAACATCCTTACCCTCGATTATGTTTTTCCGAATGGAATTGGAAATCAATTCCATTTGTGGCAAATCCTCCGGGTTCGTGCCGAATTTCCTCGGGCTCTGGGTGTTTTCGTTTGCCGTTTGGTAGAACTGCTGCAAGTTAAATGATGGCGAGCTGCTAGTGTTGGTGTCTTTCGTTGTAATAAGGGAAGTTAGACTCGAAACCATCGTCTGGAGGCTTTGGACTGTGTGCACAAGAGACTCGATAACTCCTGGGGAACTCGAGGCAGCTAAGCTTTGGTGGCAGAGGATAGTTTTTTTTGCAATCAAAAAGTTTGACTGACGCCTTACTTAATATTGAGCTGCTTTTAAAATGTGCATTGAAAAATTTTAAATTTCCTCTACATGTAATAATAGTATGATGAAGTCCCTTGAAGAATTTGAAGTTTTTAGGAATAAAACATGTACAACTTACACAATGAGCCCTAAACTGATGGCTCAGGGACAATCTCAAAATTTCATGTAAATCAAGCCTAATTTCACTATTTCTCCACAGCCGCAACTGCTTCCAGGCCCGTGCTCATGACCTAAGCTACCACACAAATTGCAGAACATTTGTACATACCACTGAACAGGAAGAGATAATGGCTCAACCACCTCGTTTTCAAGCTACAATTCATCCTATGAATCCACCCCGCTTTTCTGGTGAAATACCAGAAGAGTGATTTTTGAGCTTAGTTTTGTATTTCTAGTCCATATCTCATATACAGTAGTAGTGACACTAAAGTGTCATATTTCAATAAAATATACAAGGCCACCAATTCCCTCCAATGCACCCATACAATATTCTAGCTATAAAATTACCTATAATATGCATTCAAACGTCAGGTTTCTCTTTTTTTGGACGGTACTTAATCCCAAACTATCCTCTGCCACCTTTGGTTTCCGCCGGAAGTAGTTGAGCTTGGATA